CCCCAAACCCAAACCCAAACCCAAACCCAAACCCAAACCCTGACTGCTGAATTAAACCTACTAGTGGGCCAACCTCAACCCCAGCCTGGACAAACCCAAACCACGCTAGAAACAAAACTACTTGAAAATGAGAAATAAAATCCAATTAATAAAATAGAGGATATCAAATTATAAACTTCCCAAACTCAAATCTTTTATTTATTATAAATGCTCAGAAATAAAAATGATTGTTACACGATCGAAACTAAAAATGATTGTTACGCGGTATGCTATTCCCCTGATGGAAGAATCTTCGCAGCTGCGATGAGTGGTGGGTCAGTTTGTTTAAGGGAAGGTTCGTTGGGAGATACAAAACTCAAATTGGATTGTCCTTTTACTATCAAAAACCCGACTTCATTATGCTTCTCTCCTTAAGGTAATTTGTTAGCAACAGGTTCTTCAAAAAGTCTCATTTTATGGGATGTTAAGACAGGATAACAGAAAGCCAATTTGAACATAGATTCGCTTTATTCTTCTGTTGTGTCTTTTGCTCCTATTGATATTTCATTAGCATATACTGACCGCGCCTATACCAGCATATACGATTATAATACTGGATAAATAAAATATTAATTTAATACCAATTATTCAAGCTCCTTATCCTTTCAACCATATGGAATTTTATTAGCATCTGGTAATCAGAATTATATCGATTTATGGGATTATAGATCAAAAAAGCAAACAGCCAAATTTGTTGTTGGTGGTTTTATCAAATAAGTTTGCTTCTCTCCTGATGGTAATACTTTAGCATCTTGCGGAGGAGAATCTGATAAAGAATGTATTCAATTTTGGGATGTTAACATGGGATTATCAAAAAGTAAAATAGTTGGAAAAAACCCTAATTAAATATGCTTCTCTTCTGATGGAAATACTTTAGCAGCTGCTTGTTATAGTGATGTTTAATTTTGGAATCTTTAAACAGGAACAAAATATTTTGATTAGGAAATCCATAAAGGTTATTAAGTATACTCATTAAGCTTATAGGAAGTTAATAAATATATGTTTAAAAATACAAGAACTGGACTAGTAACTGGTAGTTCAAGAACTATCTGCATAAGCAAAGTAGAATTGCAGGCCAAACCATGTGATGGTGAAAGTAAAAAAAAAAAATGCACGATTTAGTGAACATATTATTAATAAAACAATAATCCTATTTTAATGACATAATTCTTAAACACATTATTTAAGTCAGAATCACAATTTTTTTAAACTCATTTGTGGTTTTGGTAAAGACATATTTCTAACTTCAAAAATATGTAATCTGCTAAACCTGTATTTTATTTTTATTTTTTTGGAAAAGTTACTACTAATTTTCGCTTATGTGTCTCCCTTTATTAAATGTGAATTTAAAAATTAAGTATTAGTGTTTTCTTTGTGAATGAAAAGATATTTTTTTATTTATTTTTACAAAATTTACATTATCAAAATTGATATGAAATAATATCATTCTTTGCCTATATTTATTGATATAAAGTTACAAAACTTTAAATATAAAAGGAATAAATTCTTTGTATCAACAAATTGGCTCATTACTCAAAGTTTCCTTAAATCCAAATTATTGACTAATTATATTTTTTCATTTAAATTTATGATAGTCAATCTCTAATACATGTTGATTAGATTATAGTTTTGAGATAATCTTAAAGTTATGATTTTTTTTATTGTTGTTAACATTTATAATCTATAAAGTTAATATTCATTATTGCTTTTTTTTTTCTTCTAAGAGCCTTGTCTTTTCATTCAATTTTTATCTTAATTATAATTCGAATTAAATCTTCTAATACCATAATTATTAAAAATAAATTTGTTTTAATCAAATTTTAATTCCAGCTTTAATCAATTATTTCAATTTCAATAATAATTTAATTATTATTATAATCGAAAAAAAAGTATTATGCTCACTATCCAAAATTTAGATACAGAAGAAATAATTGGAGAGAAATATATTCTACTAAAAAAAAAATTTTAGGCTTTGTAAATAATTGTCTAATAAAATTAGGGAGCTTTTTCTAAAGTTTATGAAGGAAATAATGAATAGAAAGTCGGATTAAAGTTCCTCAAATTTTGCCATCAGAGACAAACGATTAATTATTTGAGAAATTAAGGATAATTTACAAGCGAGAAATAAGAATTCATTAAAGAATAAACAATAAAAATGTTTTGAAGTATGAATTGATCAAATGAAATTAGAATGATTCAAGATGTCAATTATAATTAAAATATATACTTGATATTGGAATTATGTGAAGAAGGAAATCTTAATAGATTGTTGAATCGAAATAAAAAAAGACAATTAGATCAAGAATAAGCCTTTTAAATATTCAGTCAAATAGTTAATGGCTATAATTCGTTCTATGAATCTAAGACACTTCATAGAGATTTAAAGCCGGAAAATATTTTATTTACTAAAGGCATTGTCAAAATTGCGGACTTAGGTGTTGCTAAGATAGTTGAAGAAATGGGTTTGGCTATTGATCATACTATTGTTGGTACTTTATTATATTAAGCTCCTGTAATGATGGCTTGTACAAAATACTCAGATAAAGTTGATTTATGGTCATTAGGAATAATCTTTTATGAAATGCTTTATGGAGTTCTTCCTTATGTATAAAATCATCCAAAGAAATTATATAAGCTAATAACGACAGAACCCCTTATATTTCCCTAAGATGTTCAAATAAACTAATCATACATTGAATTAATAAAAAAATTGCTTTAAGTGGATCCAGAAACGAGAATCACATGGTAGGATTTACGTGATTGTCTATCTAAAAATTCGAAACTCGAAATTTTCCATTATAAAATTTAAGTACTTCATCATCCTTGATCGAGAATGGCAATTTTTAAAAATATTAAAATAAATTAGATAATGACAAAAATGGTTAAGAAAAAATAAAGTCTATTGAGGAAATCAAACACAATTTTGATCATAAAATGAGATTAATTTCATTTTCTTTTAATAACGCAACTAAGCTTTTTTTTCATTGTTACCACAACTTGAATTAAGCCAGATTTTTTTACATATTGTTTAGTGTCACATCAACCAAATACTTATTGAATGAGCTTAATTTTTATCAATAAATTATATAAGGCAAGGTATAAAATAGATTTTTTATTTAGATTCCACCCTCTAATAAAAATTTGAAGGAGAATGACATCAAGACTGTATAGAATAGTGAGCATTAATATTATGATGTTTTCAACTCTTTTCAAGCAAATTATGAATAAATTAATAAGTTTTATACTGAAAAACTTCTCAATCAATTTGACAAATTAAAATCGATTTATTCAGAGAAATATAAATAATTAGTATTCAATAATTGATATTATTGTAGATTTAAATTGTTAATGAAATTGTCAAAACGGATAAAACAGATGAGATCACATAAAACAATTTTAATATAAAATTTATATCTAATGCATAAGATGAATTTCTAAATCAATCTAAAAACGATAAAATATTGATGATGCAACATTAAGACAAATTTATACATTATAAATATATATGTTTTATTCACTTCATCCCTAGAAGTTTGAATAAAATGAACCAAAAAATCTAAAAGAAGAAATAAATCAATCTTCAACTTAGAAATTATAAAATAAAGTTTTCGATTTAGGAATGATATATTCAGCACTAATAAAATGATAAACTATATATCTATTATATTACTAATTTGAAATATAGGAAAAGCTTAAACAATTCATTCTTATTTTATTAATGTGCTCCTTATTATCCCTATGATTAATCTTTAATTAATAATTATTAAATACAACAATAAAGGGGTAAAGATTTTAAAAACTGCTAATTCATAAATTTTTTGGAATAATAATTTTCTCACCATTTAGATTGAAAAAAATAAAAGAAATAAGAGAGAAATAGATAGAAAAGTATACAAAAAAAACAGATTTAATGTTAATTTTTTCATTGAATTAAAAAATGAATTTAATTATATAATTTATTTGTGATAGATATCATTTTTTTCGTTCATAATAATTACGGTTGTTAATAAATATATCTAAAAGATCTTCCAAATAATGATTAACAATATTTTTGATTTTTTAATTCTACTAATCTTAAAAATATTAAATTTTTTAATCACTTTTGTAATAACATTATTTTATATTTATAATATGAAATAATTTTCTTCATAAATATTTTATCAATGAGGGAGTTCATTTTTTTATTATTTGAGCTTTTCATCAAATCTATCCATAATTTATGAGAATTCCTTGATTTATATGAATAATAGATACCTTAAAAATAGTCACAAATGTTTCAAATGCATTATCTTTTTTTTTCTAATTTATAGTCTTTGTTCTTAAGTAAATGTACCCCAAACCTTGTAAAAAAATTGAATAAATTTAGAAATAGATAGAGGCAACATAATATCCTAGCAAAATTGATTTTTAATATTAAATATAAAACCTCTAGTAGAAGTTTTTTTAAAACATTAATAAAAATGTAAGAAAAAGGAAATTGTTAGGAACATCATGATTTGAATGAATATGTTTGTGTGAATCAACTTTGTGAAAATAATGGTGCTTTGCTTTGTTAATTATGTTTAATAACTAATCAACATTAAACATGTCAGGAGCTCAACTAAGTCATACCTTTAGGTTAATATATTACTAAAATATTATCATAATCAGATGATAGAATTCGAAAAGAACAGGTCTTACTAGATAACTTAAATAAAACAAAAAATGATTTAATACAATTCTATGAAAATGTTAGAGAGTAATTATAAATATGGATTTTAGGGCAATTAATCAAAGCTAAATCGAATCCACAATTATTAAATAAAATGCTATCTTATTAGAAGAACTAAGGGTTCCAATTATATTAAAAAAAATCAAGGAAAATAGTCTTTTTAGCTATAATTATTTTTCTGAAAATATTGAAGTAGAAAGACAATCATCACATATGATAAAGTTGATTGCAGATTTTAATTAATCCTTAAATGAAATGAAAAATAAAATAGGCCCGAATTTATAGAGAAGATAGAAAATTTTCTAATAAAATAACATTACTCGACCTGATGATTCAATTAATTAAAACAACTTAGAAAATACTAATAAGAAAATTATAAATAAGTTAAGGAAAGAACATGAAAAATTTAACAACTTCAATGAATCACAAAAATTTGCAAACGAAAAACAAGCAAATACAACGAATTAACAAAATCCTTAAAAATAATATATGAAAACTAATAATTAAGAATCTATAGTTGGATTATTATTAAAAAAATTGAGGGCTAAATAAAAAAATTCAAATAGTTATGTATAAACATCAATATAGAATTTTTTTGTTACACCTCAAAATCAAAACCTAATATAATAATAATTAGATTAACCCTTGAAAACACATAAAAAAAAAGAAAATGAAAATGATTAATAACAATGAAAAATATTTGTAATTATATAATATTATATATTTGATATGAGTTATTATTTAATGTTCAAAAGCAATCATTAAAAAAAATCATCAAATAGTATTGAAAAAAAGAATGAAATCTTTAAAATTAAGGGATGAATAATAATAATAAAATAAGAGAGTTAAAAAAAAAATAATTTTTATTTTACTTAACCACAAAGAATTAGGAAAAGTTTGAAGAAAAATATGGTTGTTTTAAGCATTAAGAGTAATACAATAACATATTTAACTATAGGTTTAAATTTGAATCTCTTAGATATTTTCTCTATAATCAATATCATAACAAATGTTTGATGCCATCTTATTTAACATTACCAGAGTTATTGAAGGGTAAAATGATATTAAGAAGAGAATGAATAGTGTATTAGATATTTCTTTGTTTAGGAAGAATTGATGAAGTTAAATAAATTTGGCCTTATTTTACAGGATTAGAACCGACATCTTTAAAGAATGAGTTAATTTCTCTTTAGAAATGATTAATGATTTCAATTCATGAACATCTTCATTAATATTTTAGATATGTTTCTTCAATATTTGGCATTTTAAACAAAAATTATATTCTCTAAAAACTCAATTTATTTCCACTAAAAAAGTGCATTATCTTGAGAGTGGCCATTAAATTGAAGATGAAACAGTTAATAAGTTTTAATTTATATATAAATTGTATAAAAACTTTAATAAGATCAGATTGTCTTAGCAAAGTATTAAGGTTGTTTTTGATTGAGAGGTTAAGAAATTCAGCATATATATTACTCAAAATAATGAATTAATAACTGTTTTATATAAATGGTAAAAAATTGATCATAATTAGTATTTGAAGAATATAAAGAATTTTTAACCCTTAAAAGAAAAAATAGAAAATTAAATTTGAAGATTGGCAACTAAAAATTGTAGGATATATAGGGAAAAATGAGAAGAATAAAATAAAATAAACTAGAAACAAAAATGCGGAGATTTTTTAAAAATTGATTTTTAAACAAAGTTGTAGATAAATGTAAGTGATAATGAAGAATAAAAAGAAAAAGATAATCTTTAGATATTGAATTTTGAAGAGGATTGATAGAAGGCTTACTTAATGAATTATTTGATTTTGGATAAATAGGAATTTCAAAAATTCTATATGATTGATTTAAATTTATTGTATTTATTTGATGTAAAGGACTAAATAAAAATGAATAAAATGAATAAAATATTGAATACTATCGATAAAATTGACGTATTTGGAGTTCCTATTAATCTTCTAACTAATGAAAAGAGTTCCATTTTTCAAAGTAAAGTTGGAGGGCTATTAACTTTAATTGCAGGAGCCCTAAGTATTTCATATTTTTTATATGTTTTTGTATTTTGGGTTAGCAATTTAATACCTCCTAATATAAGTTTCAAATAAGAAACAATAGGATATGCTTAGTTTCACATTTAATCTGCAATGATTGAATTAATGTTAACTGATTTCTCTGGAGATGCTGATCCATTCAGAAAAGAAAATAATATTATTACTCCTCATTTATATACAGTTATAGATACTACAATAATAGATAAACCTATTCCTTTATTTAGTACCTAAGAAAAACCTTATATAATATCTTTTGAGAATGTTACCTTAGTATTAAATCATTAAATTGATCCAGATTAAAATCATTAAGAGATGAAATAATATTTAATTGTACTTGAAAGTTGTTCTAATACTACTTTATAAGATAATGGTTATTGTGCTGATTAGAAAACAATTGATGATTATTTATAAAAATTTCATGGATTCTTGTTTTTAAGTATAAAATTAAATTAACTTAATCATGTAACAAGAGAATTAGAAGAATTCAATAAACAATATTACTAGGCTTTTGATATGTTTAAACCATAATATTCATAGGTTATGTTAAAATAGTAAGAGACAGTCATTGATGATGGTCTTTTATTTAATAATTATTAAAATTACTAATTCTTAAACAATTATGAATTAATTAATTAGTAAGTTGATACTTTATTTTCTTCTAATGTTGTATCATAAATGTCCAAATAACAATATAACTTTACAAATTATGCATGTTATTTATTTAGATTAGATAGTATTTAAGTTAAAGAATTAGTTACAATGCCAAAACTAGGTCAGTTTCTTGCTTAAGTTGGTTCAATAGTTTAATTGATATTCTTATTATAACACATAGCCTTATATTATAATAATAAACTTCTAGAAAATCAATTACTTCATGAAATTATTACAATGTATTATCCTGAATTAAAAAATATTAAACTTACAATATTTAATAAATTGGAATTCAAAGAGAGTGTAGATAATAATATCAAATGTATTAATTTAGATTTCAAATCTAAATATAAAATCTTAGTTGATAAAGCAAAAGAGAAATGTAGGTTTAATAATATTTTGTATGAAATTTCGAGAATTTAATTTATTATCTAATAATAATTTGGAGATTAAGTCTTATAATAGAGTCATTTATTAGGAGGAAAACTTGAAAACAATTATTATGAATTGTAAAATTGCAAAGAAACAAAGAGATTAGCAATCAAACCAGAGAATTCTATAGATTTGGGGAATGGCTATCCCTTATTAGATCCTTTGGAAATATTATCAAAATAGCCTTGGATTGCTTGATTGTTTTTTTTTCTATAATATAGAAAAATATTAATTATATTTCCTATTGTTAATTATATTTTTTTATTTTTTCAATTTTATTTATTTTTTATAGTTTATTTAGCTTTCCTAAATTTCATATAATTTAGAATAGTTTAAATTAAATTAATTCAATTAAATTTTTAATTATTTAAATAAAAATAGTGTTGCAATGCAATTTATTAATTATTTCTTGATTATTTTATAATATTCAGTTTCAAAATTTGGCATTATTATTGTTGAGATTAATTCTTAGAAAAGAATCAGAATATAAATCTTAAAAATTCATTTCATTTGATTTATGGCAGAAATTCCTATATTACCTAATTTTGATTTAATAAATAATAGTTTTTAAAAGTTACTGATTCTACTATTAATATTAGAATGATAAAGGTCAATTAAATTAATGAGCATTACTCAATGAATAGCGTTGGAAAAGGTCTATCAGTACAAATTATGATTAAAGTTGAAAAAAATAATTATTTTAAATGTTCATAAAAAAATTTTAAAATAATTGCATAATGGAATTATAAATATAAATTGAAATTATTTTGATTAGAAAATGGAAAAAGAAAATAAATATTCAAATCTATATATAGAATTTTATTGCAATCTAATCCAAAATTATTTGATATTAAATGATTTGGTAAGAAAAAAATGTTTAGGATGTTTGTTCAGTTGATCAAATCGATATGGAAGATTTATTTATATACGGAATACCTGATATTCATCGAAGAATAACACATTATCATTTAAGGCTATAAAACATCTTTTTTATCTTGTAGTACAAATTATTATCCTTCTGTAGTTTAATTGTAAGCAAAGTAATAATAAATGTTAGATCATTATTCTATTTTTTTTTTTCAATTGTCTTAATCTTTCAGATTATGTAAATGAGCCCTAAGAGGGATAATCTGTAAATAGCTGCGACATTATGATTTTGCTCAGATTTGAACTATTTTAGATATTAAAATTATAATATGTTCATGAATAAAGTATCTTTTAATACTTTATCTTATATTAAAGAAACTCAACTATCAGATATTAATTAATAATTATAGTATTAATTATGTATCTTTATATAATCTGACTTGATAATTATCTAAGATTATTTTAAAACAGATCAACATGCTAAATGACTTTTTAATTTACTGAGCATTTTTTCAAATCTATGATTACTTAATCAATATTTTACATTAATATACTATTAATCGGTTTAGTAACAATACTTAATTCTTGAATTTGATTAATATTTTGCTTTTATTTTTATTCTAATTAAATAACAAATATAATATATTTTTTTATTACAAAAATAAAAAATGAATAATTAACAATATAAATTATTCTTTATTTATTATTCAAAATTAGTAGATAGTAATTATTTAATCAATTTATTTAAAAAATTTAATTCTTTCTAAATTTTCTAAAAATAAAAAATATTATTTATATTGTTTAAATTAAAATCTATTTAAGTCAATTATTTTTAATTTATAAAAAATTTATTAATTGATAGTTCAAACTATTTAATATCTTAGGGTTATTAATTTTATCTCCTAAATGATACTTCAATCAATTCAAACAATTAATATTGTCATTTCGGAATTTAATAACTAATAAGGCTAAAAAATAAGAACTATTTTATTATCATAAACTAATTAATAAGGTTACAGAAATAGAATAATAAATAAAAAAATAAGATATAGAAAAGAAATAAATAAACATTTATTTTATAACAAAAGGAAGTATAACAGATTATGAAATTATGAAATTATGAAAGGAACTTGTAACTTAAATAATATATAAGAGAGTAGAAAAAGAAATGCAAAATGAGTATAAGATTAGTGTATAATAAAATAATAGTACCACAATGGAAGGAATATTAAGAGGTTTCTTTGTAGATAACGTATAACAAAAAGAGTATTAAATAATAACTAACAGGTTGGGGACATTTAATGGAATCAAAAAAAAAACGGAAAACAAAAATAAGTAATTTGATATATCTTTCAAATTTAAACATTAATCTAGATTATTCAATTTTTAAAATGTTTCCAAATTTGAATCTATTTATAAACTTCTTAAATTCTTTTTATTCTTTCATATCCTCAATAATAACTGAATTATATCAATTAAGTCTTGAATTTTTTTCTATTTGTTGAAATCGAATTATTTCGAATATTATTTTTATATTATTAAACTACAATAGATAACATAAACTTTCAAAAAGAGAAAAAATCTAAATAAAAATAAAAATATATTAAATAGTACAAAATTAAGAAATATATTAAAATTATGATATAAATTAAAAGATCTTAATTTTTACAATTCTAAGAAAAATTGAAATTTGATTTTATTCAAAAAACCTTAAATTTATTTCAAATTACGTAAATTGTCAACATACAAAAATTTATAAATTTAAAGTAGCTTTTAATCATCAAATTACTTCAAAAAATACTTAAAATCAACTAAATAATTTTTGAATTATTTTAAGTTATAAAGAACCAAAAAAATTAGTATTCTAATTTCAATTAATAAATCTTTTTGTAATTCATTTAAAGTGTTGTTGTCTAAAATTTCTTATATTGATCTTTCTATTAAAAAAGGGTTTGAATAAAGTTATTAAATAAATAATAAAGTAAATGATTTTAATATATTCAATTAAAGTAATTTAACTTAGATATTCTGGTGAAGAATTAGGATTGTTTTGATGCCTTAACGAAATCTAAAAATCAATAGATATAATATTATTTTGATGAATAAATGTGCTGGTTTGATATTAATATATATAAAATCAATCTTTGATCAAAATTAGAATAAAAATAATTAGATATGACAAGATATGATACTAAATGATATTTATTAGAATAAATAATAGAAAAATATTTATTTAATTAAATAACAAAATAGAAATGAAAAAAGACGTTAAAATAAACTTTAAAATTTAGTTATTTATTGTTGCGAGGCTTTCATAACCAGAAATATTTCCCAATAAATTTATTTTTAATAACTAATTTGATGGATTTTATAAATGATTTTATGATAGGAGGTATTGCGGCTGCTCTTTCATCAATTGATTATAATCCAAGTGTAATAAAAAGACCTAAGTTTAACAATAATGAAAATGTCAAATGGTATGTTGAAAGCTTCAGAAAAGCAATATAGAGAGTATTGTGATGTTAAAATTTTAAGTGTTTCTCCTTTATTTATGGATTCAATTTAGCCAATATCCCTAGATATTCATTGACATAAGCATTGAACTTCTCATTAAATGATACCTATAAATAGATATTCTGCCCTTATGGTTTTTTATTGTTATTATATAAGATCCATAGAATGAAAAAGTCCTCTTCTTTTTAGGAAATATCATATCAGGTAGTGTGGCTGGTGCAACTTCTATGTTTTTTATTTATCCTTTAGATATAGCCAGAAAAGCTATGATTAGTGATATGTATAATACTGAAAAGAAATATAAAGGTTTAATAGATTGTACAAAAAAACTTTTTATGAAAAGAGGTATTAAAGGAATATACAGAGGATTTGGAATTTCTGTTTCAAGTGTATCACTATATAGAGGAATCTATTTTGGTATATATGACACAGCAAAGGGAACAATTTTCAACAATTCAGCCATGAAAAAAAATCCTATGGCTAAATTTCTATTTGCTATATTAATCACAGAATTAGCTGGAATAATTTCATCACCATTAGATATAATCAGACGGGAATTAGAAATGAAAACAGGTATTAATAAATAACTAACCTTATTTTAGGAACTACAGGCTTTAAATACAACAATGCACTTCATTGTGCTATCAATATATATGAGAAATAAGGCATAAATATTATTTACAAGGAAGCAATTTCAAACTTTTATAAAAGAACTTCTGGTGCACTTGTCTTAGTTGTTTATGACCTTATTAAAACTTTAAATGAAGATTTAGCACAAATTCAAGAAGAATAATGATTATCAAATATCTTAATAAATAATATACTATTTTATCAATTTAAGGTCTGCTTATTTCTCTTTAATTAAGATTATTCAAAAGAAAACATAGAACAAATTCTATCATTATTATTTTCTGTTTATACAATTAACTAGTTCAATCAAAAAAGTCTGCCAATTAATATTTTAGTTTAATTTTCTAAATTTACTAAAATCCATCTTATTATTATTATTTTTAACTGATTGGATCACTTTTCTTATGCAATAAAAACATAATCCTCAGAAATGGTCATATTAATTGATTTTTATCTTATTGAGTTCATTTAAAATGATAATTATTCAAAAAAATTTATATGTTTTTCATTTATCGTGATATTTAATAAAATGCTATATAAAAACGAAAAGTTATTATTAGAATTATTATTTATTAATAAAAAGCCTAAAACCATAATTATATTATATTTCAATTTAATTGATAAAATTATAATATGTGCTTAGATTTAAAATACTGTTTAAAATTTGCATAATTATTCACTAAATTTAAATCATAATTTAATCACTTTATTAATAAATTTCTTTATTTAATTTAATCATAAAAAATAAATTTATATTTTTATTTA